ATATATATATTTATATTTTTAGTTTTTGAATATAATTTTTTTATTAATTTTAGTCCTTGAATTTTACTGATTTTCATTTCAATCTTTGAACATTTTTTTTTTCAATAACATTTTGGTCTTTGACACTAAAATTTTTTGTTCATAGAAAAAATTTTCAAAAATTAAAAACTAAATAAAATTTATTTAAATACTAAAAATAAAAACCAAAAAAAATTTAAGAGTTAAAAAATATTTAATCTCAATAGTTATTGTAATGATTAATCATAATTTTTACACTTAACGGTTTATCGACTCATAGTAGAAGACTATGAATAACATAGAGTTATATGTTCACTAATATTTGAACATGTATTTTATATCATTTATATGAAGGTGAAACAACTATATCAAAATGTGTGATATAAATACAAGAGTCCAATAAAAGTAAATTATATAACATAAGTTATTGATCAAGCAACTTCTACTACCAACTAGTTACCTTAAGGTAGCACAAAGCATCAGCATCGCTAATCCCAACGTGGTTTCCAAAACAACTTTCACAAAAACCTATCTCTTCTTTGTTTTGCTTTCGTATAAGTATCGCAATCCATCCACATAAAAACATATAAGGGCAAGCTAAAGTTTAAAGAAATAACATATATACAACATAAAATATCCACAACATTAAAATATCATCACATCTTCATTCTTCACTACATCTTCAACACTATCAACATATAACATCACAATACAATCGACATATATCAACATGAACAACTCAATCTATTAAAGCATAGTATCACTTGAATATCACTACATCAATAACTTAGATTTCTCATCACAACAACACAGTATATACAACATAGAAATTACATGCATCCTCACACATTTCAAATAGGGAATCTCCTACAACATAGGGTGAGCAACTTAAGTGACTTAATCTTATTAAATCAATAACTAGGGTGATCTTTTTGGGTTTGTTAAATCAACAATAAATTGGATATCAATCCACAACATAATAACTTGCTTTCTTGGATGTCATCAATTAAACAACAAAGTCTAATACTATTGTCAAGGTAAAACAACTGAATATGGGCATATCACAACATTAGCTAGCTTGACTAAGCCTCCTATAGGATTAGTCCATTGGCTATCCTCTTAATATTACGTCATTCCAATACTCAATTAGGAACTAAGTTTTTTTATTTTATATTATTACTCAAATGGTCATTTTATACACGTGTGTTTCAATTTTGCTCTCACATGGCACCAACTAAGGTCCTTAAGGAAACTCAACTATCCTCTTCAAGGTTCACTTTCCAAGAAAGATTTTCAACAAAATTTAGTTCTCGAAACACCACAACATAATATCCATACAATTGGATATACAACTTTAAAAAAAAATCTCTCCTTGAATCTTAGGTTGATCAACACAACTCAACAACATCATATCTAGATGCCTAAAACATTTTCAACATTCATCATCTCAACAACACACAACATCATGCTTAGAGCATTTTAAATACAACTACAACACCAACACTCAATATACAACTTACGACATACGACTCGACTCAACTTCAACTCTCAATCATTAATCATTTCTTTCTTTCTCTCTCTTTCTCTCTCTCTCTCTCTCTCTCTCTCTCTCTCTCTCTCTCTCTATATATATATATATATATATATATATATCATATATCAACATATACATGGAATGTGTTAACTCAGGATTCAAACAAGTATTTAATATATAAGCAATTAGTGCCCAATGTCATATTCCTAGTGTTCGATGTCATCAAGGCAAGGAACCCTCTGCATTTCATGCCTAGTGCCACACAATCTGCACCTAGTGTGGATTATGTAAAAGCTTATGGGACCTCAGGTTCAGCATGCTCTGCCTTATTTTAGGTAAAGAGTCTCTAGTTGACTCATATCCTGCATCACCATACTTTCGTTTGGTGTTGTCTAAGCACAGAGTTCTAGCTTGACCACGTTATGCACTACTCCACCAAGGTCCGACATCACCAAGTTAGAGACCTCCCAATGCTTTCACATTTAACGTCATTCAAACCATGCCTAGTGTCATTCAAATCTGAGACAAGTCTCTCTCTTGATGCTTGATGCCACCAGTTCTACATCATATATATAATTGTATACAAAATAAACCATACTTGTAAGTCAAGCGTCTAAACAGAATACACTACATTAGAGTAGCAACAACCCAAAAGAGTCATCACCAGCATGACTCGTCACCAACCATCCAAGCATAACTTGTTATTCTTGCCCTATTCTTATATCAAGTATGATCTTTATAGTTCCAACCACAAGGAAAATAAGGATAAGCTTGTGAAAGAAAATCAACAAAATAGCCACAATTGACAACTTACAATAGTGCAACATAGTCAACTTAATAAATACCCCATGCAGTTTAACAATACAGCTTCCAACTTATCAATAATACAACACATACAACTTGCACATAGGATAACTTAACAACATATTTAACCCAACAACAACATACAACTAATGCGCCATCACACATGTCATCTTACAAGGATCTCCTACAACAAAAGTGAGCAGTTTAAGTAGTTAGACCCTTCCAAACCATAATATATAATGTATCACAACCAGGTCAAGTGTAAACAACCTTAGGCATCGAAGAGTGTCAGGTATACAATTAAAATTTGATTTCTCAGGTTTCATCATTTAAACTAGGAAGTCTAATCCTGATGTTAGGGTAGAATAATTTGGGTATAAATTTATCACAACATTAGCTTACAACACTAAGTCTTCTATAGGATTGGTTCACCAACTATCCTTCAAATACTACGTCCTTTCAATACTCAGTTGAGAAACTAAGCTCCCAGCCTTATATCTTACTTAGTTAGTCACTTTATACATATAAATATCTAAAAAAAACATGAAGATCAAAGAAATATATCTCTTTATATATTATTATAGATTATAAATTATAAATATTTCATGAGTTATTACAATAATAAAAATTAACTAAGAAAATGTCTGGTATGCAAAAATATTTATAAAAAAAAAACATAATTCCTTTGAATTCCTATATTTCTAGGAAACATGTTGAAAATATTATAAATATGTTTAATATATTTAAAATAATTTTGAAAATGAAAGAAATAATTATAAAAAAATGTTTTCTTTCGCAACTCATTCATTAAAAAGTCATAGTAAAAAAATTAATTTGGTTAAAAAATATGTTATCTATCTCGATTAGACTTAACTAGTCAGTAAATTATTTGAACAATTTTAATGAACTAAGGTAGTTAGATTCACTAGACAATTATATACAACCTAAATATTATCAAAAATAAAAAGTTATCTCTTTTCTATTATGTTGAATTTTAATTATCATAAGTGTCTTATCTACTCATTAAAGATAATTATCAAGTAACCATTTATTTTATTATGTTGATTATTTAATTGCTAAAAAAATATATCTAAATATAAATATCTAAAAAATATTCTCCAAATAACTCTATCACCTATATAAAAGAGAACATGTATCATCCTTAACGCGATTAGTTGATACTATATTTGGGAGACTATTTCACAGTAACATTGGAATTTTTTTTTTGCATGTATCCCCAATCTAGCAAAGCACTTTCGGATTATGGTAATAACAAAATATACTTTTGAAAAAAATTATATTACTTTTACATTTTCTATAGCAAATATAAAAATTTAACATTTTCAAACTTAGAATTTAAGTTGAAAAAAAAAAATCCCATGTCAAACACCCCTAATAACTGTTCTCTTTAAATATTGAGTATTTTTTTTCTACTTTAAATTGAAATATTATTTTTCCTGAACATTTTTAAACAAGAAAAAACATCCCGAGGTTCGCCCATTTATGAGAACCGGTACAATTCATTTCATCTTATTCGGCGGTTTCTGATTTCTCAATCGAAGGTTGTCTTTACCTTTTTAACACTCCAAAAAGAGATACAAAATGAAATATTGGGAAATTTATGTGCATTTCCAGATCAAAATCCCATTTTTGCTCAAATTTTGCAATCAATAACCTTGCACAATCTCATTCCCCACCTCTGCTTTGTTCTTAGGTATTTTTTCTTGTTCATTTCAGGGCTTTGTTTTTGTTTTTGTTTTTGTTGGGTCAGGGGTATTTGATCGGATTTATACCTGTTACCCCTTGATTTTAATTTACTCTAAACGTGTAAAGTTTTTAACTTTAATAAATAATCGTGCATTTAGGTATTGGGGGTGTTTTTTTTAATGGTAAAGCCATTTTCTCAAATGGATTTGTGAGATAGTTTGAATCTGATGCCTGCTTTTACATATTCCAAGATATATCATGTATGTGTTAGATAAGATTCTGTGGTTTCAGATTTAGTTGAGAGTGTACAACTTCATTGCTTAGTAACTTCCTCAGTTGTTCAGTTTTCAGGCAGTAACTTCCGGCGGGTGGTGGATGTATTTGTTAATTGGTAGATGCATCTTGTGAGGTCATCTGAAAGATGGATCTTGAGAACAAAAATTTTGGAAGGGGTAAAAGCTCGTCATGTAACTTATTGATTGTTTGTTATTCTATTTTTGTTGATGTGAATGTATTAGATAACTAGATGTTCTCTGAGTGAACTTTCATGTTGATTTTTTCGTTATTACTTTGTTTGAATAGTTGTGCAGGAATACTGTGAAAGCCTATGGATTACCATGGAGCATACATAATATAGTCATTCACTGAATGCAAACTATATTTTTTGATAATTCTCGTTATAAATACGCAATATAATCAAATACATTGTTAAAAACAAAAGATTGATAGTTAGTGGAGCTTTCTGTGCCGCTGAAAATGTTTACAGCTGAACTTTCTTGATTTCTTGATTCACTGTTTATTGGAGTCTCACGATCAGAGAATGTCGTGAGGTTTAAAGTCAGTGATATAGCAATTGGAGCTTAATTGACATTATGATCATGAGATGGTCATTTATAAAATTCCTGTTGAGGGTTTGCTCTAACATTCAAAATTGCAATTTCTCCACCTTTCTTTTGATATTAGGTCACTGATGACTAGATAAAGTAGTGTTCAGGATCTATCATTTATGTTAATTTATTATTTACTATTTACCCGCAGTGGGTTATTTGATAAACTAGATATTCAATATGGGCAAAAACTAGCGTGACCGATTGTTCTTTGATTTCTTGTGGAAAATTCAGAAATGTTCAGTTGATTGTATGATTAGAGTTTGAAAATTATTTCCCAGCCCTCCCCTTTCTATTATACTTATCTTCTGTAAGTAGGCAATCTAAGAAGCAGAATTATGCGTCCAGGATATTCAATAGATTGCTGACCAAACAATCACTTTTTATTGTTAGAGTATAAAATGTGATCCTGGAGTAATTGCAGAACCTTCTTCAAATAAAATAAACGTGCTTTCTAACAAGGAGTTTAGGGCAGTATATCATCTAAGAACTGTAGTGCATACTTCCGCAGCAGTGGTTTGAAAGTTGGGTTCATGGTAGACTGGAAAGTATAGCAGGTGCATTCATCAAACTAGATGGCATAACAAGATACTCTGTTCTTCGTGTGTTAGAAAAGATACCCTTGTTATTGAGGATTTTTTATCCTCTCACATTTGTACCTTTTACTTTCTTAATAAATTCTTTGTTTATTAGAAAAGTAAATCTCAAGTCATATCACTTTTTAAATCACATCCATGAAGTTCTAATTATATTCATATCACTTTTTAAATAACTTAAATTATATAAATTATAATATAATATAGTGCCTCTCCAAATAATATTTAAATGTCATAAAAAATAACAAATCTTGACCCTAGTAATATTGTAGTAGAACTCTAATTCTATCACAAGTGGCCTAACATTTCCTATATAATTTAATAGGGGTCTGCTGGTGTATGAGGCTCTGACCATTGTGGGAGCTAGGGAGGATCAGATCTTACACGTATGCAGCATTTGACCAAAATAATTTAATAATGCCCAAAAAAGTATTTCCTACAAAATTTTACAGTATTAAAAGCCAAAATATAATTGTAACTGAATCCCTTTTTGCATGACTCCCACTTTCTGCACAATGATTTACCTATTTACCAAGGTGAAAAGCCGGTATGTAATTGCAACCGTTTTCCTCTAAATCCCTTTGAGAGCATTGGCCCTCTGGGGATATTCTGTTTGAGTATTTTGACCAGGTTTACTTTTTTTTAACTTGTTACATGTTATATTCCCTGTTATTAGGTGGTACTGATTAATTTCTTCCTGAACATTTTAGATGGTTCCTCAGCTTCTTTTGTTTTGAAAACTAGTAATCATTACATAAAATTAATATTTCTTTTAGTATATTTTGTTTTTTTTAATGTTATTTCGTGGAATCAGGCGACAAAGAACTTGGAGGTACTCGTGATATCATAAATCAATATAGGCTTTTGCCATACTATGAGTTCTTCTGCAAGAGGTCACTTCCGAAGTCAATTCAAGAGACACATTATCTTCACAATGTGGTGGGTAACACAAAAATCAGGAAGGGAGAAGGAATGGAGCTGGATCAGCTCTGTAAGAACACTGACACAAGCGAGAAAAAAGCTGCCTTATGTCCTTTTGACTTGGATGTACTAACTGAAGCCTTCCATATGAGGGAAATGAATCCAGTCCACCTTTCTTCTGTAAGTTTTTTGATTCTTTTTTTTCCACATTAAAGAAAACAAAATTATTCAAATTCACATTTTATTGTTACGTTAAGACATGTTGCTGATATGTTTTATGCTGTCCCAGAAGGGGCTTCCAAATGCAGTGACCATGTTAGAGAACCAGTCTAGAGATCATGAGAGGAAGAATAAAAAGATCAAAGACAAGTGTGAAAAGTATAGGAAGCAGAAACGCAGACAACATCGAGTAAATGATGGAAGTTGTATAGAAAACATCAGAATTAGACCCCATGATCCTCGTATCTTGCAATTGAAAAATCAACAAGACAAGGTCTGCTCTCTGTCCTTCCCAATGTTATGCATTGTGTGTGTTACGTTAAATTAAATTTTAATTTTATTATTTGCATAAATTATGCTTTATAGTAAAATACCAAATACTAGAGGTAATACATGCCATAGCTAGTGCATTTCATAGGTCCTGTTTGAATGAGGAATCAACAATAGTTGTTAGTAATTACCATTTTTACCACTATCATTTTAAGCTATTGTATGATTTGATTTGATTAAAATATTATTATTGAGGTTACCATTTTTAGTTGTTACAAAACATGCGACAGTGTGTTGTTCTCTCATGTCTTGAAGTAGTAAATTATATTTATATGCAATTTAAATTGCAGTAAAATCTAATTTGATCTCTATTTGACTCTTTCAGAAAAGGAAGGCAGATACAAGCAATGGTCCTTCTGTTTGCAAGCGATGAAATACAGAATGAGACGCAGAATTTTATTTTTCTCTCTCTGGAAATATGTGATCAAATCAGAAGATGACAGTGTTTTTGTCATATCTAACATTTTGCTGTTCTCTTCTACCCTTAATCTCTCATTACATGTTTTGATTTCTATTTGGCTCGTCTAGATACTGAATTTCTATTGTAGATGGGGTCAAGGCATGGATAATCAATTTTAAGCGGGAACAAAAGCATTTCATGTTCTACAGTTTGTTTATTTAGAGCATATCATTAAATTGTAATTAAAGCATTATCATTTTCTATTTGACTTTTATTTTATTTTTTATCACTAGTTTTTCCTAGTATTTCAATTGTATTTTTTTTATTAAACCAATCGATAGAGTTAATGTTTTAAAATTGTAATGATCATTAAATTGGGAAAAGTATTGATCCATGATTAGATAGTAGTAATTATATGTAAGTTTTATAATATATATTATTTTGATCTCAAAAGGCATTTAGAAAAATTGACCCACCCCTAAACATCCTTTCTAGCTTCCAACCTAAACGGTGTCTCCAAGCTATGAAAGTCACTCAAGTTCATGATGCCACCTTTAAGATGATAAGGTGTGAACGAACATCAAGCTCCAATTGAGCCCCAAAACCCATTCCAATTTCCAACCCCGTAATCTCATGAAACGCTTTCAACGTCTCATTGAACAAAATGTTTGACGACCACAGGAAGCAACTTCACACCCATTTGGTGCAACTCATTTGAAGGCAATGTTTCCAACTCTTGGTGCCCCGAAAGAGATGACACTTATTGGAAGCTTCATGGGCATTGAGCAATGCCAAAGCACCTCCTAATCGGGCCAAACATGTAGCTCTAATGGGGAACTTGGTTTTGGGGTGGTCGAGAACCACGTTTTGTTTGGCTAGAAAGTGGTTATTGGTCAGTGCCATATATCAAAAAAGAATAGAAGCTTGGTGGTTGAAAATTGAAGATTATTGGAAGCATGATTGAATATATATATATATATATATATATATATATAAAT